TTAATATATAAAATCATATTTTTATTTTGATGGACCGAATAGCAGTTCAAGACTCAAAAAAGCCATCCCCAAAAATTTTCTCAAATATATTTATGCTAGTAAAAAACGCTCATGTAAAAGTATTGAGTACAGAAGTTTCGCACAGTGTACGTATCCCGGCAATAGCAATTATAATCATTTTAATTACAAACCACGGACATTTTATATAAGTGGATATTTTCAACTCAGCCTTCCYGCTGTGCAGATTATTAATAGAAGCCTGCGTTTGTGACCGTCGAGAGGAGTATGGCTACTCAAACACATCCACACACACAAGCACACACCCACACATATACACACATGCGTATACCCAACCCCAAGTTGTGGCACTCTGGCAATACGATAACCTTTAGCCTTGCCTCCTAATGGCTTTTTCCCACAACATTCGGTGTCTGTGCGGCGCTTGTGTCCGAATTAGTTGCACTTCCTTGTTTACTAGTCTCTGCCTGTCCATTGTGAGCTTTTTCTATATTTACCCATTTGAGCAGAGCCCATTTGTGTGTCAATTTGTGCTTTTATTATTTATTTGCCAGTTCCAGGGGGAGTTTAAGCTTAAGTCTATATAACTGCGGGTGGTCCGACTCGGTTTACAGCTAGGCCGAGGCCTAATTAAGCTTTCGTCTTTTCTTGTTTTTTTTTGTTCTACCCTCACACACGGCAGAGTTTTATTTATGCAATTAAGCAAAGCTGCGTGTAATAAAGTTCAGGTCGCGCAAGTGAAATCTTTGATTAATTGTAGTTTTGTTTACACGTTGAGAGGCCGAAGTCTACGCCTGATTATATGGGCTCGAAGCTAATTTATGGCAAGTGTATTGCACCTGGCCCTAGCCTATCCATCTGCCTGAACAGGTGATTAGTGTATCGTCCTTGTTTGTTCTCTGTTCAGTTTTTGGAAATTTGTTTACACCTGCCGTGTTTTGTTAATCGCTTTCCCTGCCCAATCATGATCATTATCATTATTATGCTCTCATGTATACCGATTCGGTTGTGTGGGATAAAATGGGGCTGAAAACCTTGGCGGATATTTGTTGGAGATGGGAGGCAACATCTCATGAGTCATGAAGATTATGTTATGTTTACATAATGATTAGGTTATTGCTTAAGTGATTATGATATTTGTGATGATAGTAAAGATGTTTCTTTGTGGCTTCTTAGGTTGCAATGCATTAGGCAGCAGAATTCTGATTGAGTCTGACTGCTTTTGTTGTTTACTTTAACTAACCTTCTCCATTTCTTAATGTGCCAAGCATTATTGAGCATTAATTTGTAAGGTCGAACGCGGCTATTGTCGCCTGCGTCCATAAGCATAAGTCGAGCTCTCAATATTTTAGTGTTGTCGAATATTTTAAAAATAACGTATTGATTGTAATCCGTCCCATAAATCAAGAATAGTAAGAATAAGACTTATAT